GCCACAAAACAAGTCTTAATCAACTTAAAAAGACTGAAATCATATCAAGCATCTTTTCCAACCACAATGACATGGAACTAGAAATCAATTACAGGAAAAAAACTGGAAAAAACCCTGATGGGGTACATGGTCACTGGGGTGGCCATGGAATGGGCTGTGGGACACACTGTGGGTAGTGCCCTGACCAGAGCCTTCAGTGGGGTGAGCTCAGAGCCTATCCAGCCTGCCACTCAGGAGGTCTCCACCCACTCTGCTCCCCTGCCCCTGCAGATGGGGTCCTGCACCTATGAGATCAAGCAGTTCTTGACCTGCTCCAGCAGTCAGAGTGACCTGTCCCTGTTTGAAGGCTTCAATGAGGCCCTGAAACAGTGCAAGTACAACCACAGTCTGAGCTCCCTACCCTGAAAAGATGGGGGCAGACTGGTGAAAATTCTCAGGCCAGCCCTGCATCCACCTTCCCCCCCTTCACTGACAGCTGGACCATGGTGTCAGATGGCATGCATGTAGCTGGGATTGGGGGTGAGGATGCGGGTTTTCACCCCAGAGATGACCAGAGTCACAAATGTATAATTAATTGAGTTTAATTATTTATTTTTTTTAAATCCTAAAATTTATATGGAACCACAAAAGACCCCAAATTACCAAAGCAATTTTGAAAAAGAAAAGCAAAGCTGGAGGCATCACAATTCCAGACTTCAAGGTATATTACAAAGCTGTAGTAATCAAAACAGTATGGTACTGACACAAAAAAGACACATAGACCAATGGAACAGAATAGAAAACCCCGAAATAAACCCATAATTATATGGTCAATTAATCTTTGACAAAGCAGGAAAGAATATCCAGTCGGAAAAGACAGTCTCTTCAACAAATGATGTTGAGAACATTGGTAAATTACATGCAAAAGAATGAAACTGGACCACTTTCTTACACCATACACAAAAATATATTCAAAATGTGTTAAAGAGCGGGGCACCTATGTCTGACTCTTGGTTTCAAGTCAGGTCTTGATCTCAGGGTTGTGAGTTCAAGCCCCATGCCCTGTGTTGGGCTCCACACTGGGCATGGATCCTACTAAAAAAAGAAAAGTGTTAAAGACCTAAATATGTGACCTGAAACCATAAAAATCCTAGAAGAGGGCATAGGCAGTCAAGTCTCTGACATTGGTTGTCGCAATATTTTTCTGGATATATCTTCTGAGGAAAGGGAAATAAAAGCAAGAATAAACTATTGAGACTACATCAAAATAAAAAGCTTTTGTACAATGAAGGAAACAATCAACAAAACTAAAGACAACTTACAGAATGGGAGAAGATATTTACATATGACATATCTGATAAAGGGTTAATATCCAGAATATACAAAGAACTTACAAAACTCAACACCCAAAAAACAAATAATCCAATTTAAAAATGGGCAGAAGAAATGAACAGAGGTTTCTCCAAAGAAGACAACCAGATGGCCAACAGACACATGCAAAGATGCTCAACATCACTGATCATCAGGGAAATGCAAATCAAAAATATAATGAAATATCACCTCACACCTGTCAGAATGGCTAAAAAGAAAACCACAAGAAACAACAAGTGTTGACAAGGATATGGAGAAAAAGGAACCCTCTTGCACTGTTGGTGGGAATGCAAACTGGTATAGCCACTGTGGAAGACAGTGTGGAGGTTCCTCAAAAAGTTAAAAAAATAGAACAACCCTATGATCCACTAATCATGCTACTTGGTATTTACCCAAAGAATACAAAAACACTCATTAAAAGGGATACATGCACCCCTATGTTTATAGCAGCATTATTTACAATAGCCAATTTATGGAAGTAGCCCAAGTGTTCATCAGTGGATGAGTGGATAAAGAAGATATGGACTATATGTACAATGGAATATTATTTAGCCACAAAAAATGAAATCTTGCCATTTGCAACAACATGGATGGACCTAAAGGATATAATACTAAGTGAAATAAGTCAGTCAGAGAAAGACAAATACCATATGATTTGAGTCATATGTGGAATTTAAGAAACAAAACAAATAGGCAAAGGGGGGAAAAAGAGAGGGAGAGAGAGAAGCCAAGAAACATACTCTACACTGTTGAGAACAAACTGATGGTTACCAGAGGGGAGGTGGGTGGGGGATGGCTGGAATAGGTGATGGGGGTTAAGGACTCCACTTGTGATGAGCACTGGGTAATGTATGGAATTGCTCAATCACTATATTTTACACCGGAAATTAAATAACACTGTATATTGAAGAAAGAAATTGAAGATGACATAAACAAATGGAAAGACATGCCATGCTCGTGGATTATAATAAGTATATTGTTAAAATGTCCATATTCCATAAGCCATCTACAGATTCAGTGCAGTCCTTAATCAAATACCAACAGCATTTTTTACAGAACTAGAACGAAGAATCCTAAAATTTGTATGGAACCACAAAAGACCAAAGCTTTGAATCTTGCTCTGCATAGCCAAAGCAATCTTGAGAAAGAAACAAAGCTGGAGGTATCACAATCCCAGATTTCGAGATACACTGCAGAACTATAATAATCAAAATGGTGCGGTACTGGCACACAAGCAGACCCATAGATCAACAGAACAGAATAGAAATCCTAGAAATAAACCCATGCTTATATGGTCAATTAATCTATGTCAAAGGAGGCAAGAATACAATATGGAGGAAAAGACAGTCTCTTCAATGAACAGTGCTGAGAAAACTGGACAGCTACATGCAAAAGGATGAAACTGGACCACTTTTTTTTTTTTTTGAAGATTTTATTTATTTGACAGAGAGACAGCGAGAGCAGGAACACAAGCAAGGGGAGTGGAAGAGGGAGAAGCAGGCTTCCTGCCGAGCAGGGAGCCCGATGCGGGGCTCGATCCCAGGGTCCTGGGATCATGACCTGAGCTGAAGGCAGATGCTTAACAACTGAGCTACCCAGGTGCCCCTGGACCACTTTCTTATACACAAAATAGACTCAGAATGGATTAAATACCTAAATGTGTGATCTGAAGCCATACAACTCCTAGAAGAAAACATAGATAGTAATTTCTTTGACATTAGCCTTAGCAACATTCTTCTAGATATGTCTCCTTAGGCAAGGGAAACAAAAGCAAAAACAAAAACAACAACAACAAAAAGCTATCAGGACTACACCAAAATAAAAAGCTTTTGCAGAGTAAGGAAACCATCAACAAAATGAAAAGGCAACCTACTGAATGACAGAAGATATTCACAAATGATATCGCCAATAAGGGGTTAATATCCAAAATATACAAAGAGCTTCTATAGCTCTTCACCAAAACAAAACAAAACAAAACAAAAAAACCCCAAAATCAATCTAATTAAAAAATGCGCAGAGTGGGGCAGCTGGGTGGCTCAGTCAGTTAAGTGTCTGCCTTTGGCTCAGGTCATGATCTCAGGGTCTTAGGATCGAGCCTCGTGTTGGGCTCCCTGCTCAGCAGGGAGTCTGCTTCCCCCTCTCCTTCTGCCCCTTCCCCCTGCTCATGTGCTCTCTCTCTCTGTCTCAAATAAATAAATAGAATCTTAAAAAAAATGGGCTGAGGACCTGAATAGATTTTTTCCAAAGAAGACATATAGATGGCTACTAGGTACATGAAAAGATGCTCAACATCAGTAATCATTAGATAAAGACAGTAAAAATCCCCAGTGAGATATCACCTTACACCTGTCACAATGGTTAGTATCAAAAAGAGAAAAAATAACAGTGTTGATGAGGATGTGGAGAAAAGGGAACTCTCATGCACTGTTGGTGGGAATATAAACTGGTGAAACCACTGTAGAAAACAGTATGGAGGTTGCTCAAATATTAAAAACAGAAATACCATATGATCCAGTAATTCCACTACTGGGTACTTACCCGAAGAAACAAACACTAATTTGAGAAGACATATACATCCCTATGTTTATTGCAGCATTATTTACAATAGCCAAGATACAGAAGCAACCCAAGTGTCCATCAGTAGTTGAACGGATAAAGAAGAGGCAGTATATACACACAACGGAATATTACTCAGTCATAAAAAAGACTGAAATCTTGGGGTGCTTGAGTGGTGCAGTTGGTTGAGCATCTGACTCTTGGTTTCAGCTCAGGTCATGATCTCAGGGTCATGAGATCAAGCCCTATGTTGGGCTCTGCGCTCAGTGTAGAGTCTGCTTGAGTTTCTCTGCCCCTCCCCCTCATGCATGCACATGCTCTCTCTCTCTCAAAAATAAATAAGTAAATCTAAAAAAAAGTGTGAAATCTTGCCATTCACAACAACACGGATGGATCTAGAGGGTATGATGCTAAGTAAAATAAGTCAGATAAAGAGAAATACCATGTGATTTCATTATATGTGGAATCTAAAAAACAAAACAAATGAACAAGCAAAGCAGAAACAGACACATAAATACAGAGACAAACTGAGTGTTGCCAAATGGGAGAAGAGTAGGAGGATAGGCAAAATGGGTGAGGGGGATTTGGAGGTATAGGTTTCCAGTTATGGAATGACTAAGTCATGGGGATCAAAAGTACAGGATAGGGGATATAGTCTCAGTGATATTGTAATATCCTTGTATGGTGCCAGATGGTAGCTGCACTCACGGTAAGCGTAGCATATAGGGGTGTGGAATCAATATATTGTACACCTGCAACTTATGTAACATTGTGTGTCAACTATACTTCAGTTAAAAAAAAAGAATTTAAAAATAAGAAAAATAATATTAACTGTCACTAAGAAAACAACAAGGGTTCACACCTTGTAGAGGTTTTTAAATTTAGATGTCATTAACATTCACATTTTAAATTTGGTAGACGTTCTCAGTGTACAGACTCAGCCTGCCTATGGAGATGACCAAAATGGGCTTTCTTATCTTATTGTACACACTCATTCCAAGTCAACCTAGAGTTGATTTCCTTGTTTTGATACTGGTAAGAAGCTCATGTTTTACCTTAGTAAATTTTGCCTTTCTCTCTCTCTCTCTCTCCAGAAAACAAGAGAATTTCAGCTTGCTCTCAAAGAATATCAAAATAGTCTGAGGAAAAAAAAATAAATAAATAAAGTCTTAAGCTCTCATAAGCACATAACAGATCTTCCCATCTTTCCTGCGGCCTATCATTGGTAACTTGTGTTTTATGTTCCAAAAGAGCAAAGTGGCAGTATTCTAATACACTTCTAGTTTTGCAACGAAGTCCTGTAAAATTTCATGTTCTCATTATTAAATATGTGGTTTTTTTAAGGGCAGCCTTATGTCTAAGTGATAAAAAAAAGAAATGTGCTGAAGTTAGTCTATTTTATTACAAACCTGAGACCTTTTGTGGTTGAATTTGATTACTCGATTCATGAAAAAAGTCTTCAGGCTTGGTTTTCAGGTCATTTGGATAGCCTTTGTGCTTCATTCTGTTGCTTTGGAGCTTTGCATTCTGCTTTTTGTTTGTTGATTTGTTTTACTTTTCAGTGAAAATATGTTGGTAGTTCTAATGGTATTTATGCTTTAGTTAAGTAAAGAATCAAGAGAAGGCTTCTTAGCCTTCTTAATCATATTAATGTTCTCTCTGGTAAAGATAGTGACTGAGGCCGGAATAGGAGACAGTTGTGAATTTAGAATTTCTTTTCTTCCTTTGATCACTTCATTCTGTAAGTAACAAGAAACACATGAAACAAAATTCTGAGAACTAACTTTAAACTCAACCTTTAAAAACCAAGAGAAACTATGAGTTAAAAACTGGTTATTAGTCACTGAGCATGCCGAAGCAACTTATTTCTTGCTCTTGAAACTGTTTTTTCTAACAGGTTAAAAACTGATAAGAGGCTCTTGGGAAACTATTATCAGTCATTGCAAAAAATAGGTTAACCCATTCCTAATCTGGCAAAGACTTAAAAGGCCTAAATTCCTAAAAGCATTAGGGGATTTTTTTTTTCTTCTATTTGCTAAGTATGCTGTATAAGAATCATTTCTGTTACAACAAATTCAGAGTTAAAATATCTTTTTATTCATGTGATATTTCTATGAGTGCATTTGCAGCCTATAAAAGAGATGGTTGCCTAAGCAGACACCGCAGAACACTGCAGGAAGTGTTGATTAGAATTTGCACATTTGTTCTGAGTTTGTGAATTCCAAGCAGATTTGCTAATGGAGAAGCAGTGGCTTTTTCACAACTGTTCAGCTCAAGGTCATGGCTACGTATGTGTGTTTCCTTATGTGGTGACTGCTGTTAGTATTTTAGTATATATCCTTCCTGCCTTTTCCTCTCTTCATATAGTCTTTCCCTTTGCAAAGTTAATCTCATAGTATACTTGCAATTTCCTATTTTTTTCCACTAATGGCATGTTATTACTTTTTTTGAAAAAATATTTTCAATCATATAAGATAATCCATCATCTAGCTATAACATAATTTATTAAACTACTTTCTTATTGTTAGACACTTAGGCTATTTCTTTTTTTTTTTTTAGATTTTATTTATTTGACAGAGAGAGACACAGCGAGAGAGGGAACACAAGCAGGGGGAGTGGGAGAGGGAGAAGCAGGCTTCCCGTGGAGCAGAGAGCCCGATGCGGGGCTCTGCTCCAGGACTCTGGGATCATGACCTGAGCCGAAGGCAGACGCTTAACGACTGAGCCACCCAGGCGCCCCGACACTTAGGCTATTTCTGATTCTTACCTATGGTAAATATTGTAACTAGAATCCTTGAACTTAAACCTTTGGCGCATTCTAATTGTTGTTTCCTATAGATAAATTCCCAAAAGTAATACTATTGGATCAAAAGGCAAATATTTTAAATGATCACTACCTTAAGATAGCCACTGCTAACAGTTTGATGTATATTTTTACAGTCTTTTTTTTTAAAGATTTTATTTATTTATTTGACAGAGAGAGACACAGCGAGAGAGGGAACTCAAGCAGGGGGAGTGGGAGAGCAGGTAATAATATTAAGCAGGCTTTCTGCTGAGCAGTGAGCCCGATGTGGGGCTCGATCCCAGGACCCTGGGTTCATGACCTGAGCCGAAGGCAGATGCTTAACGACTGAGCCACCCAGGCGCCCCTACAGTCTTCTAAAAAAATAAATATTTATGTGCTTGAATGTATATATACATACAAGAAACCTAGTTAGGAGTCCATAGTAGTAATCCAGGAGATGGATCAGAGTAGCTTGCAGCAGGAGGCAGGAGTGGAGGTAGTGAATTGTGGTCAGATTCTGGATAGATTTTTTTCAGGAAGACAGATTGGATATGGAGTAGGAGAGAAAGAAAGGAGTGAAGATTTACTTCAAGTTTTGGAGACCTGAGCATTTGGAAGGATGGCATTGACCTCAAGTAGCAGGGGAAAAAATGCTGTAGGTGGAGCAGGTTGCAGGAGAGGGAGGAACAGAGTTCGGCTAGGAGAGAGTGAGAGTGAGATATTTATTAGGTACCCAAGTAGAGATGTCCAGTAAGCTATTAAATATATGAGTCTGCAGTTTGGGAGTGAACAGGTATTGGAAGTATAAATGTGGGAATCCTTGGCATATACATAATATTTGAAGCCAGGAGACTGGGTGAGATCACCAAGAGAGTGAGTACAGACAAAGAGAAGAAGAGTCAAGACTGGGGAGGTGGGTGTTCTTACCTGAAGAGCACTTCCTAGGCACCAGGCACTCTTCTATGTGCTTTGCATAGATTATAGGTTGACTCATTTAGTCTCCAAAGCAACTCAATGAAGGGGTATGATAACCCCATTTTACAGAGAAGGAATCTGAGGCACAGAAAGATTCATTTAGTTATCAATAACTATTTCATGATATGAACTGATGGAATAAGTCTTAACTCCCTTTTTGAATAATGTAGACTTGTTTTGAAATATAGCACATAAACTTTTTCTGCATAGGCTTGATCCATCATGTCTCAAAAATCTTAGTAGTTAGGCATTCCAGTTATACTTTAATGAATCAGCATGACTAATCTGTTCAAAGGTGCTTTTCTTTTCAGCTGACAACACATTCTAGAAAAGAATATTGAGGGGGTGCCTGGGTGGCTCAGTCAGTTGAGTTTCCCGCTCTTGGTTTTGGCTCAGGTCATGATCTCAGATTATGATCTCAGGGTTGTGAGATCAAGCTCCACGTCTGGCTCTGCACTCAGCGGAAAGTCTGCTTGAAGATTCTCTCCTTCTGCCACTGCTCACACTTGCACATGAGTGCACATGCTTTCTCTCCCTCTCCCTCTCTCTCTCAAATAAATAAATAAATCTTAAAAAAAAGAATATTGAGGAGAGACTGAAAAAAGAAAAAAGGTAATTTTCAAAAAGGAGATAAGGAGAGCCATTTTTAGGGTTCAATGTTTCTTAAAGATCTTGTGTTTATTTGTTTTCATGAGTCTCTTCTTCAAGAATCATGTATTCTTTAATCATATTTAAGGATAGGAGAGGCAAGTTAATAAAGGGAAATTGTCATCACTCCTACCATCTCACTCTATACCATATTCAGAATATCCCAGTGGGATGATTTCTAAGGCTATACCTGACCTTTAGCAGAAATGTGCATAAGACAGGGAAAGACAAATTCATTACGATGGGTTAATCATTACAGAAGGCTTCCAGAAAAAATATTTCAAATTGTCCCCTTGGTGCCCTGGAGCTTTTTACATCTTGGGACAAGGTTGCAGATGAATGAACTTGCAGTATGCTTTTCTACCTTCTCTTCCTTGAGAGAAGTGTCACTGTGAAAGGGGAGGTGGGTAGGAGAACTTGCAAAATGCTTTTTCAGATAGTTCAGTTTCAGGAAAAAGGACAAATAGAAGTCAAGGATCTGGAAATAAAATGTTCCCTGCCAACAATGTTTCTTAAAAAGTATTCACATACTTTTGAGGGTTCTTATAACTCAGGTTGAAGATTATTGTCTTAAATATTCCCAATAGAGAAGAATAAAAGAGATATCCTAAAACACCAAGGTGACTTCAGAGGTATTCCTTTACTGAGCCCAAAATATGAAATGATGGAAAGATGTGTACATTTATCTAAATACTAGAGAGCAGCATGACCCTTGAATAACAATACCAGGAAAAGCAGAATCCAGAATTAATTCAGAGATGTGAAAAATATTTTAAAAAAAGGAGGAGGCGGTTGGTAGGGAGGGCCCTTTTAAGGTCATGTTCATAGCAAGAACAAAAACATAAAGACACTGGGAAAAGATGATGTAATGTTTAAAAGATAACAGAGAAAGCAGAACTAACCAAAGTCTCTTTTTCTCCATTCTTCTCTCAATAACTACTTTCAAATGAAAAGGGTAAGAGTAATGGTAGGAGGGAACATAAATGCAAGGAAGTTAAGAAACAATTTAGTTAATGGAGTTATTTTAATGAGTTTGTTTTTATGCCCAGATAAATTGTATCCTGAGATATTTAGAGAACTTGTAGTTGTAATCATGTAACCACAGTTAACAATCTTAGAAAATAATTTTAGAAACAGCATAGATTAAGAACCAATGCTCTCAAACTAATGTTACATCTAAGAACTTATTACTCAACTTAAGACCTAGTCTTTGTATCTTTTTCATTTAACATTATATTGGAGCATTTCTTTAATATTTCTCATTAAATATACTTCTCTACTATAATTTTAGATAGCTATGTAGTTCTCAATTGTATGACTATACCTTAAATTGCTTAACCAATCCACCATGGTCAAGTTTAGACTATTTCACATTTTTGGCTTTTAAAAACCATGCTATGGTTAAGATCATTTAACAAAAAACTTTATAAATTACTATTTTTTAAATTTTAGGTCAAATTCCCAGAAGGGGGATAGATGAATCCATGGCATCATATTCTTCTTTTTTTAAATGGCATTATATTTCAAAGGCCTTTTAATAAGCACCACCAAAATGTCCTCCAGAAAGAAGTACCTATTTATATTTTCAAAAACAATACATGAATGACTGTTTTTCCAACCCTTATAATTACTGGAAGATTTTGGTAGAAAAACTTTATATTGGTGATTTTTTTATTGTGGTAAAATATACACAACATATAATTTACCATCTTGACTACTTTTAAGTATACAGTTCAGTAGCATTAAGTATATTCATAATGCACAACCATCATTACTACTTCCAGAAATTTTTCATCATCCCAGACAGAAACTCTGTACCCATTAAACAAAAATTTAAAAATAAATATTAAAGGGATGCCTGGATGGCTCAGCCAGTTAAGCATCTGCCTTCGGCTCAGGTCATGATCCCTGGGTCTTGGGATCGAGTCCCACTTTGGGCTCCTTGTGCAGCAGGAAGCCTACCTCTTCCTCTGCCTGCCGCTCACCCTGCTTGCTCAGTCTCTCTCTCTCTTTCTCTGACAAATAAATGAAATCTTTAAAAAAATATTTAAAAATATTGCCATTGTTTTGCTGTATATTTTTCAATCCCGTCAGCAATACTCTTCCCCCTTCCTACTATCTTAGAATTCTTCTCTATTAGAAATAGGACAGGGTGCCTGGGTGGCTCAGATGGTTAAGCGTCTGCCTTCGACTCAGGTCATGATCTCAGGGTCCTGGGATCGAGTCCTGCATCGGGCTCCCTGCTCCTTGGGAGCCTGCTTCTCCTTCTGCCTCTCTCTCTCTCTCTCTCTGTCTCCCATGAATAAATAAATAAAATCTTAAAAAAAAAAAAAAAAAAAGAAATAGGACAGGCTGTACCATGGTCACAACTCCAAAATCTTGTGGCTTACACAACAAGAGTTTACTACTCACTCAACTTACATATTCTATGCCAGTCAGCACATATACTTGTTTCTCAGCCTTTCAGAGGTTCAAGCTAATGGAGACCCAGTCGTATAATCGCTTCATAGTTTGCGTGGTTACTGAGGCAGGGCAAGAAAGTGCTGTAGAGCCTTGAGGCAAAATCAAATGCTTCAGCCTGGAAATGGCACGTGCCACTTCTAAGAACTTGGTTACAACTAATAACATGGTGGAGGGTGACAAGTACATTCCTCCCGTGTTACCTAAGAGAGAGAGGAGCACTAGAAGTTCTGCATCTTCCTTTGTATCCTTACTGATACAAAGTTGGCTTTGTTTAACTATTTGCATTTTTTTCCTATTCGTGAAGCCCACACATTAATGTTTCACTCTATGTAATGCCACAAGAAATCTTGGAATAAGTGAAAACAATTAATTTAGAAGAGTAGCAATTTGATCTAAGTGAAAAGTCACATGTCGCAGAGAGTAATATGTAAACACTCTGTTGTGGCTAACATGTTAAATTGCCGTCTTTGGGCCCAGTTTTCTTAATAAATTCTAACTTTTGAAGTAGATGCTGAATGTTTTAGTGGCATTGGACCCTCTGGTTTTCATGTGTCACTGTTCATGCCCCGTGGAGGATGATAAATATTGACAAACACTTGACATGTTCATTAGCAACTTTTTTGAGAAATGGGACTTAATTTTTCATTAGACATACACTCTCTCTTAGCTCATTCCTGCAAAAGTTTTTTTTGGTGTGTGTGAGTGTGTGTGTATAAAAAAAAAGTTACCAAACAGTAAAGTATTTAGTTATGTAACTACAGCCATGGAGCTCAGACTTCTCTCTATATGCTCTGGGGTAGCTCTTGTAAGCCCTCATTTTCTTTTGTATATTATACTTAACCTGAAAGTTTTTATGAATCATGTTGACCTGATGACCTGGCAACTTCATTCATCTTGTAGGTTACTGCATGGGCCGTTCTAAAATTGGCTGATATATCAAAGGGCCAGCAAGAGTAGCAGTGTAAACTGCTGGAAGGAGTAACTGTAACTGTAACTGTCCCTACCGGATCATATCCCAGGGAGCTTCATTAGACTGGTAAGTGCCCTTCTTGAAAGTGTGTTGGTTACATTGCTTCTGGAAAGGTCAAAAAAAGAGAGAGAGGTTATCCTTGGTCACCTTTCAGATTTCCTACTTGTCAAAGTAAGAACTCTGCTCACTGCACTTGTGTCTCATGCACTACTAAATGAGACCATGACAGGAGATCAAATATGGGGTGAAGGTCCAGGAACCCATCTTGGCTTAATTTTAAAAATCTCTTCAATATTGGGGTGCGTGTCTTAGTCCGTTAAGCGTGTTACTCTTGATTTTGGCACAGGTCTTGATCTCAGGGTTGTGAGTTCAAGCCCTGCATTGGGCTCTGTGCTGGGTGTGGAGCCTACATAAAAAATTAAACAAACAAACAAACAAACAACAATCTCTTCAATGCAATTATTTATAGTAAAACTTTATTTCAAAATGACATATCCAGGCGAAAATTGTGAAAGGACAACAGCTTGGCATGCCAGCCTTAGAACAGGAAGCTGGATAGACTGCCAGGCAGCAGATCTCTTTTGACACTCTTGGCTGAAACAGATGAACTTTGTTTCTTCTGTCAGTGCTTTACTATGCTTCAGAATCAAAGTCCTGGGAAAAAGAGCCTGGTTGGCTGAGCTTAGGGCATGTGCCCCGCCCCTGGCAATGGCAGGTCTGAGAGGAAGGATTAGCAGAAGGAATCTCCAGGGATCTCTTTGGATTCCCTAGTGTGAGGCAGGCACATGAATTTTACCAAAACTCCATGCTATGTGGGAAAATAATTACCCAGGTGAAAATCAGGATGCTCTTGGGAAGTGGGAATGAAGGCTCAGCATCCCAAAATGCCGGTATCCACCAGTAAGAGCAAAAAAGGCATCAAAGCTCATGTACTCATGAATCTGTTGAGTTGATATGTGCTGATTTATTTTACTATTTTCCAATTGTTAGATTGCTTCCTTTTGTTTTCTTTCCTGGAACAAATAGCCCTAAGCACATACATTTAAAAAAATTTTTTTTTCTTAGGACAAATAATCAGGCCTGGAATTATTGGGTCAAAAGATAACACACGAGTATTTAAACTTTTTTTCATTTTCTATTTTACTGAAGTGCTGATGGACTCTGAAAGTATGCCTCTAGTCATTGTAGATTGGCTTTCCAGTGACTGGATAATTGCCCGGTTGAAGGTCACCCTGTGAAACCTCTCTCTGGGTCATATCAGGGGCATTTGTGGTCCTGGGAAAAGCATACTCTTTAGAGCTCTCCTCTTTCCTTCTACTAATTTTTTTTTTTTAAATATCCATTGCTATCTGGGTGAAATGAAGTGCAAGGTCTCTGTTTTGGTTGATTGATTCACATGTTATAGAAAAGAGGGCAGCATTTGCCGGAGGGATCTGTGGGCAGTGGCAAGTGCCTGCTGATATATATGTATCAGCATATATAATAGCATATACCCAGCTCCCTCTTCTCCATGCCAAGTATCTCCAAACCAGGGGGGCAGGAAAAGCAGTGATTTCACTGACAGGGCACTCCACCCAAGGAAGGTACTTGTTGAGTGCCTTGACCCACATTTTCTTGAGCCAGGTTCTTCTAACTCCAAATGTGAGAAGAGTCCTAGATTTCTTCAGAAGCAGCAGTGTGCTTTGTTTTATAATTATCCCTGTGTTGCTTATTCCCCATGGCTAGAGTACACCAGATTGTAGATGCCTTGAGATTAACAATTGTCTCACCTTGGTATTTCTTGCAGCACTTGCACAGTGCCTTGCTCATTCCAGGTACTTAATGTTTGCTATCTTTTTTTAAAAAAAGATTTTATTTATTTATGAGAGGGAGAGAGTGAGAAAGAGAGCGCACGAGCACCAGTCGGGGAGGGCAGAGGCAGAGGGAGAAGCAGACTCCCTACTTAGCAGGAAGCCCAACACAGGGTTGGATCCCAGGACCCTGAGATCATGACTTAAGCAGAAGTCAGGCGTTTTAACTGACTGAGCCACCCAGATGCCCCAATATTTGTTGACTATCTTAAGTGGAATAGTTCTAGTACTTTCTTGGGGTCTAAATTCTTCCAAGTTATGTCTCAAGGTGCTGGAAAAGGTGAGCATTCCCTAAAAGCAATCAGGAAACCCCAGGGGGTTCTGAAACCCATTCTCAGTGATCTGGAGGAAAAGAGCTAAGCCTGGTGCAGATGCAGATGGATAGGCACTCACTCCCTTTCCAGGGGCTGTATCTCAGCCCACGGTGCTCCTGCCACATAGCCTTTTTCAGTTTCTTGTACTAGCTCTCTGACCAAGGTTTTGCTGGGCATGTTTCTCCCCTCTCTAGGTCATATCCACTTCACACATACCCATTAACTCCTCATCCTTCAGATCTCAGCTCGATTGTTAATTCCTCACTAACATCTCAGAAAAGGCCAAATTCCTGTTATATATAGCATCATGTACAGCTCTTTCCTAGCACTTATCAGTGATTTCATTTAATATTTATATTTGTAATTATTTTATATGTTCTTTCTCTCTGACTGGAGTCTATTAATCCATGAGGGCATGACTTGTTCCCTTCACAGAAGTGCTTGTTTTGTTTGCTGTTGTCTTCCTCGTTCTAGGGTCTTCCCTGGCATATGGTGGGTACTCTGTTACCCTTAGAGGCACACACATGTACCCACTGCATTCCTGGCAGATACAGAGTATATTGGTATTCTCCGCAGAAACAGAACCAACCACTGGGATATATAAAATTAGACATTTTTATTGTGGTTATAAATATATATATTATTTTGAAAGACATGTATCATATGATCTCACTGATATGAGGAATTCTTAATTGCAGGAAACAAACTGAGGGTTGCTGGAGTGGGGGGTGGGGTGGGAGGG